TTTTTTTCATTCTTTCATTGTTTTTCTTTTTTTTTCCTTTTTTTTATTCCCGAGCAAGTAACACATGATACCACATTAGATTTTTTTATATTAAAAATTCTTAAGGATAATATACTCTATTAAAATAACTTAAGGAAAAAGAAATGTCCTCATTCATGTTAAAAATAGCAAAAAGCTCATCTACCAAAAGTTTAGATTACCTGTCAAGACAAGAAGCTTTGCACAATACAGATCCACTAGTAATTTACAATTTGATCCCACATGAATATGTCCCATCTGCTTGCCACGCACGCTCTCAATAGCTTCAAACGACCACTGCCTCACTATGAAATGAAGAGGATGCATTACTTCTCTTGAAGCATGGGTTAATCACATTTCCTACGTCATTTCACAGAATAAATCCAAGGCCACCTAGATTGTTAATAACATCAAAAGCACCATCAGAGTTAAGTTTTAACTCCCCATAAGGGGGTAAATTCCACACACAAACATTAGAACAGGCCCTTGAGTCTTTCTCTTTAGTTTCAAACCAACCATTATCTGTCTAGCAGTCATGCATAGCCTTATTGGCTGAACTGATAACCCAAGAAAGATTAAGAGCAAAATGTTCATACAATTCACTGCAACGGTTCTTCCAAATAAACCACAACAAATAGGCTACAAGAGCTTGGCCAAAATCATCATCATAGAGCAATTTAAAAATCATTAATAACAAATCAACAGAGAGAGAGAGAGAGAGAGAGAGAGAGAGAGAGAGAGAGAGTCAGGAATTGTTCTTTATATTAACTAATTAGACATTATATTCATTAATGTAATCATATGTTTTGTTAATTGATAATTTAATTTAATTATTAAATATTGGAATTTGAAATTAAAACGTTGAACCAATATAAGTCAAGCGTGTAGGAAAAAAAATTAATTAAAGATGTGAAAAATTATCGAAGTCAAGTATCTTTGAAAAAATTAATTTTTTAGGATAAATCATACCCCTTAAAAGTATTTGAAATACTATATTTTGAATAAGATAATCGGTCAATATGTTTAGTCATTGTGAAATTGTCAACATAAGGTAATTAATAATAAAAGGTATTTAGGTTTAAATTTTGGATTTAAAGCCTAATCAGTTAAAATTCCAATATTGGATAAGTTAATAACTTTGATAGTATTAATTCAAATTTTTCTCATGTGTAGGCATTATTCCAATTCCAATTATAAATAAATGGTATTAATTACTATTTCATTCAATGCTTTCACTTGATAACATATACTCTATAAATTTTTTAAATTCAATTACAATGTCAAGCCTTTTGAATCATGAAATAAGACTCAACGTGAGTGTCATGATGATTCTAATACAAAATATTGATAAGTCTATGAAGTTGTGTAATGGTATTTATATCATAATTATATAAATTGAAAAACATGTTATTGAGACTCAAGAAATGGATAGATCAAATGCAGGAACAAAAGTATATATATCGCGTATTGTTATGTGTCCATCTAATTTCAAGTTTCCATTTACTATGAGAAGGAGACCATTCCTCATTATGTTAGCATTTGCAATGACTATTAATAAGAGTCAGGGCAAGGACTTCTTATGATAGTTTGTACTTGCCTCATTTTATTTTCACTCATGACTAATTATATGTTATTTTTTCTTAGGTTGAAACAGGGAGGTTTAAAAATATTGGTTATTGATGAATATGATCACTCCATATATATAACTTTTAATGTCATTTATAAGGAGATCTTTGATAACTTGATCTAAAAAAATAAAGTAAAATATTTTGACCACCTTTCTACTTTACCTTAATTACATAAACCTCTCATCTATTTTAAAAACATACAATTTAGTCTAATTTGTTAACTTTGTTAGGAATATTCTAAAAAGATTATAAAAACATATTTTTAAATTAAAATTTGTATTGAAAAATTTTATTTACTAATTTATCCCTCATCCTAATTAATCCTAAATCATATTATTTTGACAGTCACATCATTTCATTGTAAAAAGCATGTTTACAAATTTTAAATTTAAATTATTTATAAAATCTCTTGAACTTATATCATTTTATGTTATCAAATGAAAAAACTAAGTTTAAAAAATTTGATGAAAATTGAAATCATAATATTTTGTAATATGATAAAGTTAATAAATTTTATAATATAATAAAAATTTGAATATGTATATACAAATTTTTTTTGCAAATATAGATTTTTAGATAATTATTAAGTTATTGAGGAGCATTTAAGTCAAATTAAGAGTTTAAAAGTCAAATTTAATAGTTAACTAATGATTGGATGAATAGAAATGGAATTTCAAATATAAAATGGAGTTTTATGTAACATATACTCTCTCCATTCAAAAATGTAAGACATTTTTAACTAAATTTCACCCTCTAATAAAGTAGTTACCTACTTTCAAATTAACCATATCTTTTTATATTTATCCCTATTAAATACCCTATAATAAATATAAAATCACTATCAATAGGGGCATTTTTTTTAAAAAAAGCAATAATTATATTTCAAAAGATTTAAAAATATCTTATATTTTTAAACATCTAACCCCTCAAAAAATACTTTGCATTTTTTGATAGAGGGAGTATTTAATTTTAAAAGATGTTTACATGAGTTTTCAAAATAGAGAGGAGGTTTGTGTGATTAAAATATAATAAAAGGACGGTCCTTGTATTTTACTAAAAAATTATGATTTTTAATCTGTTTTCTATTATATCTGTTTACACAGTATGCTTTTAGTTTTTATTATTTCTTTTGCTCTAATATGCATATTTGATGTGAATGACGATAATTACACAACCTTACTATACATAGAATAGTAATATGGAGAAACTATTTACTACAAGTTATTGTTTTATAAAAAGTTTTCCTGCAACATTGACACTTCTTTAAAGACATTGGTGTAGATAACTCGTGCATCACACATGTACTTTATTAGTTTTCTTAATATATTGAGACTTGAGAGGGAGCTTAAATCCTTAACCTTTACCCACGCCTCACCCTGACTATATTAAATTTGTTTAAAAAGATATTTATTTTTAATGAAAAGTTTCAACCTTGTAATGTGTAGTAAATTATTTTTAATGGAAATAGGTAATGGAAATATTGGAGGCTCTTGAAACAAACAATAAGAATTACACGAGCGCGGACTTGGTTTCTACCCTCTACGATGGGCATTGCAAACAAAGAAAAGAGAAAGGAAAGGAAAGGAAAGGGGGAAAAAAATAAGAAAGATAGGAAGGGAAAAAGAAAAGAAAAAGAAAGGGTTCCCGCTGTGAGAATAAAAAAATAATAATAAAATTTTTTTGAATTATATAAATAATAACCAATCATTTAAAATGCTATATTTTTACTTAAGTGCCTGGTGACTTTTATGTTAATAAATTTTAAATTAAAAATAGTATTTTACCCTTATCGACAAGTTATGATTTATTATTCAATTATTATAATTTTTTGAATAAAAATTATTATTATTTAAACAAAATTTATAATTAAAATTTATTATTTTGAAAATTTATTTTTTAATAATAAAAATTACACTTGACAAGTTATGATTGTTTGCTTAGCTCTTACAATTCATAGAACAAAAATTATTATTCCTTAAGTAAAAGTTGTGATTATGGCTTGTTTTTTAATAACAAAAATTACACTTGATAAGTTATAATTTTTTGTTCAACTTTTTCTATTTATAGAATAAAAATTATTATTTTTTAAACAAAAATTATAATTGGGGCTTGTTATTTTTAATAAAAGTAAAATAATTTTTTAAATTTAAAATTTGTTGACATAAAAATTCTTAAGAACTTATGTGAAATTATAACATTTTAAAAGATCAGATTATTATTTATATAATTTAAAAAGATTTTATTTTTTTTTGTAAAAAAAAAACATAAGATACTGTTCTTAGAAACCACGATTTGGAGTTTTGAGCCAAGCTGGACAAGGCGACCCAACTTTGCACAATCCAATGCATTTTTTTTTTTTTTAGTAGCAATGGGAATTCATTAAACAAATATGTATAGGTTTACATCAACAGTGCAAAAAATTAAGCCGCATGACCAATGGCATGGACTAGATCTTGCGCTTTGAGAATAGCATCGACTAAATTACAAACAGATAAAATTAAGCTATTGGGGGGGGGGGGGGGAATCAAAGTCATCAAAGAAAATTCTTCGATTTCTATTGGACCAAAGTCTCCAGCAAAGCGTGCCAAAACCAAGCCTCCAATGTGTTCCTTGAAGCTGCGGGTTGAGATTCCATAGCATCCATTCCTCAAAAGGTTTGGAGAAAAAAGCAGAGTATCTTGTTTCTAGCAAGACCATCATCCAGCAAGTGCGTGCTATGGGACAACGGCGAAGAATGTGATCACTATCCTCAGTCTCCGCATAGTAGTCAGTGCAGAGGCGTCCATCGACATGCCTCTTCCTACTCGTTCAGCATTGGTGAGCGGGCGATTTTTTAAAGCTAGCCAAAGGAAAGTTCTGATACGTTGTAGGCCTGGCCATTTCCAAACCCATTTCCAGTAATACTTTGGATCATTCCAAGCACTCTCTTGCAAGGCTTCGTAGGCAGATGCTTCCGAGAATCCAGTGCTTTTTTTTGTTATACACACCAAGCTCTTCTTCCATTTTCATTCTTCAAAAATAAAATACAAATTTAAATTTTTTTTATTACATGCATGTATCTTCTGATTTGGATTCTATTCTATTAAAAGTAAATCAGCTTCGAGATACTGCCTGAACAACTATTCGAATTTTGATTTCCTATCCATTTGTAAATATATATATATTTTTTTCCTTGTTGATTGTTGGTCTAAAATTTTCTGTCTCCCTGCATTTGGGCTAAAATCTGTGTTCCTTTTATTGGTCTTACTTGTCAGGTTTATTCATATGGGCTTTAAGACATCTTGTAGCCCACTAACGTAGATAATAATGGATCTTAATGTTAAATATCTTATTTCCGTCCATTCTCAAACCCAGAGATTCCAAGAAACGCGCAAGGATTCGATCATTTCACTTTCGATAAAGGAAATCGGCAAAGCCACAGGAGAAATAAAGAAGAAGCTACAGTATTAGATAGGTTGATAGAAGAAGGTTGAATTCGAAGTTAGAACAATGCCGTACTTGCTCCACCCATCTCTGGCAACATGTCCTTCTCGGCTTCGCATCTCTTCACCGCTCATCACAACCTCAATCAGCCCATTTCGGGCCCATAGTCTTGTTAGCTTGGCTCGCTGGGGCGACCAGGTGGACAAGACGATTGTTGGGGTGACGACGACTAAAATAAGGTGCATGGCCAATCCAAGAAGAGTTAAAATGGTGGCCAAGCAGATAAGGAGGGAACTTTCTGACATGCTTCTCACTGATAAGGTGTTGCAGTATGCTGTTCTACCTGAAGCTTCCTTAGGAGCTGATCGATACCTCTCCTCCCTCACCACCATCAGCGAAGTTGAAGTCTCCGCCGATTTGCAGGTATGATGTTTGTGAATTTGTCTGTGACGCTGTTTTGGAGTATGGTGTCGGTAAACCTGTGGGTTTATTTATATACGAGTAATATTTCTAGTTTACTTGGTCTTGGCTGTACCCATCGGATATTATAGCAATTGGATACTTCGATGGAAGAAATCGGTTAGCATAATAGCTTCAAGGATTGTTCTCCATCTAAGAAAACACGGTCAGCACGACATGAAAAGAATTTGAGAGTCCTTGTTTAATTTAAAATGTCTAACATGAGTGTCCAAAATGCATTGCACAGTGCACACGGATTAGTTTACTTTTTTCAACTCTCTGTTGTCTGTACTTAATAGTTTTGCATCATGCTTTGGTTGGATTGTGTCTTGATAAATAATTGCCAGGCCATACTGGCTTCTAAGTTGTGTTGCTGACTCTTAGACTTGGATATGTTTATTCTTTGTAACTCGAATATAGCCTTGCTGGGGTATTTTTACCTTCTGGTGTTTTTTTTTCTTTTTTTTTCTTTTATCAGGAACAGCTCTGGCGTGACTTCTAGCCATTATGCTTGTTTGAAACTCAAGATAAATTAGTTTTTACGTTAGTTATGGAGATAGTTACAGTTTCCAGATTAATTAAAGCAACATAATCAAGTTATATATATTGCATCATATATAATATATTTGTCTTGCTAGGAGTGAGGATATGTATCCACCAACCGTCTTGATGCAATATTTTATGATATGTTTGAAAGCCAAATTTTCACTGGTCATAGTGTGATAGAACCCTCTACTTTAATAAGCTTATAACAAACAAAAACAACCAGAAATAAACTACGAACAATGTGGGACTGTTAATACTATTACTGAATAATAATTTTGGATTACAAGAGAAATAATGATTCAAGCCTATTAGCCTATACCATCTACCTCATACACCCATATATTGAAACTAAAATCAAATAACAGTTCACAAAACACACACCAGCAACACAAAACATAAGCCGTTGAATTTTCAAGAGGCCAGTGCTCTCCCAAATACACTTCACTGACCAAAAGACTGAATTCCCCCGTGTCCGAAAGGGAGGATTAAAACAGAAAAAGTTGCAACACACACTGCCTACATTCTAGCTGCTCCTAAAACCTTCTTATTCACCTCTTCTTTACCCTTACGGCCAGGATCCTCAGTGTAATTCTCTTCACTGCTGGTATTTCCCTTTTTCACATCATTTCCCTTCCTTAATCTTCTGCTATAGGTCCTACGAAATGATTTATAAACTTCTGTGAATCTCTAGCTCTATCATATTGTAAAGTCTTACTTTCCCCACAATTGTCACAGTCTCACGGTGGGTATTGTGGTTGTGATTATACATAAGAGTTATGTCATGCTGACTTATCTCAATATTTGTAGGTGGTTAAGGTGTATGTTTCTGTCTTTGGAGATGAAAGAGGGAAGGAAGTTGCCATTGCTGGATTGAAATCAAAGGCTAAATATGTTAGAAGTGAGCTGGGGAGGCGTATGAAGTTGAGGCTGACTCCTGAGATACGGTTCATTGAGGATGAATCCATGGAGAGAGGAAGCAGGGTAACATGAGTATACCACTTCTTTTTAACATGGTTGTTAGGTTGTGTAGTAAGTTGGGTGATTTGACTGCAAATTTTTTGGGATGAATAGGAGTTAAAAGCAAGATAGAGTGCTTGCATCTTAGTACAGATTACGGAGCCCACAATAGAGTGGATATACTGTTGATTAAGTGAATTACATAGTTTTCCTGTTCTTTTCTCTTTTCGTACTGTTCCTTTCAATGTTTAATTTTCTTCATTTTCATAGGCTTAATTTATGGTTGTAATTGAGATTCTGCTCTCTAGGTTGTTTACTAAGGGATTAATAAATAGGATCATGATCCTGGGCAGAGGTTGAAACACTCTTGATTGTCTTACCTTCATTTAGGATGATTGATGCATTTTCTCACGCTGCTACTCCCGTTCACTTGTTTCCCTTTTCTTTGGTTCCTAGCTCTTCTTTTGGCTTTTTATTAGAAAATTGTGGATTCTACAATGTTTGATTCTCTAGCAGGGAACTGTTTTGTTGAGTATCCTATGAGTATATACCAATCTGTGTCATCCACTACTTTAATGTTTCAGGTGCTTGCAATTTTAGACAAAATTAAGGAGGAGGAGAAGGGTGCAGAGAGAAAAGAGCAATCAGATTCTTCAGCAGTACGTGAAGAAGACAGCGAGTGGGATGATGAAGACCCTGACTACGGCATAATTTATGTTGAATAGCTGCTTCCTAGATGATGAACGTGATGCCTGTTTGTATTTGGATAGAGCTTTGCTTGTTGGCCGGTAAGTTCCAAAGAACTAATGCCAAGAAATACCCTGGACAATCCTATTATGCTGGCTGAATTAATTTTTTGTTCTTCGTTGATGAATTTCACATATTTATATGGTCTATTAGTTGGTCCATTCTTAATTTCTCATTGCTTATAAGGTGCCACTTTTTCCCCCGGAAATTAACCTGCAAAATTAAGTTTTTTTCGCAAGTCCAGATATAAGCACAGCCAATTACGTCACTACAGACTGTGTCAAGGCAGGCAAAGCTTGAAAACTACGACAGATACAGACGTCTAACTAAGTATAGATTAAAATTCAAAACTGCCATCCTCTATTGGGATGACCGATGACAGTCAAGTCACGTAGCCTCTGTCAGTGTTTTATTCCATTTTAAGACCCATGCATAAACTCTGTAATTAGTTTGTTCAGGCTAGTAAAATATAATTTCTCCTTTCTTTCAAGGGAAAATTTCAGTCAGCTTCTCTTGACTCAACATAATTTCAGTCCACCCTTCCAAAACTGAAAAATTTCACTACACATTTGGAAGACTGAAATGAAATTAAAGAGATGACTCAAATTACCTTGTTGTCTCTAGTGAAACTAGATGCACGAACAACTCATGTAGGGAAAATAAATGACTAATGTAGGTGGAATTTGTAACATGAATAGCATAACATCACTATAAATTTGCAACTCTCATTCCACATGTATTAGTTGTTCATTTTTCTTACACATGTTTATGCGCACCAGGGATAATAAGTTCATTTGAGTCATCTCTTTAATTTCATTTCAGTCCACCAAATGTGCAGTGAAATTTTAGAGTTTTGGGGGCCTGACTGAAATTATGTTGGGTCAAGGGGGACTGACTGAAATTTTCCCTTCTTTTAATCATATGTTTTGTTTTTGAATTGCTTGCTCATATACAGGAGAAATACTTCACTAGAAATCATGTGGCATGGGACAATTTAGATACAAAGCCTAACTTCGGCAGATTCATTCGAAGCTGGACCAAATTTTGGCTTTATGCTCTCCTAGTGGTATTGCTCGCGAAGTCTTCTGGTAGTGCTAGCTCAAGAATGTAAGAATGTAAGCATCTAATGGTGTACCGTTGTGCTTCCCATAGCGCCTTGGATGTTTCGATCGGAGAGGGTTTTCCGTGTACTGTGTAAATTTGTTTATCGTTGGTCCCCAATTTATTTTTTTAAAAGCACATAATTTACAAGGAAAATTTCCAATAATTACATACCAGAAACAAGTGAAGTACAGTGCGCGTGGATATTATATATTGCTTTTTGCAGTTGACTAGGGCTTAATGTCTTTAACTTTGATGCTCAACTCATGAGAGCTACTCAGGTGCGAGTATTTCCGGTGGATGTTTGTAATATGCACCAGTGGACCGGTGGTTATTGAATACTCATGCAGGGCAAGGAATCACAAAGGAGGGCACATAATGAAAGTTACAAGTTTGACGATCATTTAAAAAAAAATCTTGGATCCTTGTTACAGTATATTAAGTTGCGCTTAATTTTGTAGGATTTTGATCTTTTATGGCAAACTACGGGCTGCTCCTTATTATTGAGCCATACATGCCTTTGGCAAGGAGACATTTCCTCTTTACTTTGCCCGTATATCTAAGGAAAGTGGAAACAATGTATTTATTTATATTACCCAGAAACTAGACATCTCCATTTTTTTATATGATTATCTAATTAGATCAAGTTTAAATATCATCAGGTTTAACTAAAAATAATTCTCCTCTTTCAAAGGCATTTTCTGTTTTCACTTGAACGCAAGACTTGGTATTTAAACGATCATAACATTTTCTATTAGGGTCAGTGACTCTTTGTATAACTAGATTTCTATATACTGAGATGGATGATCATTGAAAAATTCTAAGAAAATTGTTTTTGTTTTTCAAATATTTAAAATGAAATGTGTAAAAGAATGTAAATAAATAAAAAGAATATATATCAAGAAGTGTGCAAACGATGTTTTGTTGATTGCCAATTTTGTTTAAAGATACATAGGCCACAAAATTAAATTAATCAAGAGAAACAAGCTGGAACCTGGGTTGATGCTCACTACTACATAAATCAATCAGGAAAAAAAATTGCTGCACTTTAGAGGAGCTATCAAAAATCCCAAATTGATGTTCAAAATGCACACCTAATGAGCATTTAACACACTATTTTATCTCCCCAAACACAGTCAAAATAACACTAGTTCCCCCTGATCAGATCTCTAATGTCTTCTATTGTATTGGACATCGGATTATTAAATGAGAATTAACCTGGAATAAGTCAAAAGTAACATCGAATGAGTCAAATGTCAATTCTGGTTTTGCATGTTTTCAACCCTAATTCTTAAGACAAGGCAAAATATCCGTGCAGCATTATGGGTAGAAATGTACTGTTCTAACAAAAACGTTTTCCAGAAATTACAAGTACGGCGGTCATTCGTCAAAGCCAAATGCCAACTTAAGGCAACTGTTAAAAGTGCAATGGATGCAGAACTCTCCGTGTTCATCTTTTCCAAATGCATAGGTTGAAGATGCACTATGGCATCATAGAAGCTTGCAACACAAATCCGCAGCTCCAAAACAGACAGGATAATTATAACAACGAAAAAGCATGATCATTGAATTATTCTATCATAGTTACCTAAATTCAACTGCTATAGCATTATCCAAAGCTTAATCCAGAAAGCTTTAAAAAAAAATGGGGCGAAACATGATACAGTTTCTTCTCAAGAATTATTGTTGTATTGTCCTCAGTCCGCGAACAGAGTCACGTCCGTCTCGACCCTGTCAGTGATGAGCCTTTGCTTCAGCCTTCTGATGAGATTTGGCTTTGAACTGGGAGTTGCAAAAACCAAATAGGCAAGGAAACATCAATGGATGAATGCAAACACAATAAAAGAAGTTATACAGAGCACACGATTATCATAAGATGTGGGAGAAAGTTAAGGAACCATCAGATACCGAGGACATCAGCCAAAGGATAAATGCTTAGCAATCATATGAAGATCATTGAGTCATAGATCACAAATCTTCCTCATAATGAACCAACTAAAGGATCTTGATTTAATTCAAGAGTGCAGATCAGCGTGATAGTGGATTCAGTAATGATCTGCAAGCCCAATTTTTGACTCATACCAAAACATTTAAAAATCTGCCAGTTCAACCTCAAACCTTTGCTCAGTCAGTGCACTAAACAGTTAACATTTTGGACGTCGACCCACATCCAAGATGTTTCATGATGGTAATACACCAAAAACACCTGTATAGTAATAACCCAAGCAAGAAAAGCACTACTCAAAGGAGAGGTGACATGTTTACTGTTAAAATTTCTTAAACATCAACACAGAGAACACTGCTATTTGCGGTTGCAAAACAAATCATCAGCTATCAGGTTGGATTAACAGGGAAGCTAATGAAAGTACAATTGTATGTATGGCTTAACTGATTCATGCCTGAAATGATTCCAGGGATAAACAATGTGAAGTGCAATTCGGAACAAAATTGCTTAACAATTCTTTTCGATAGAAAACTAAAATAGATGAATTAGATGGTCAAAGCAATTTAGAGCGAATAAAGATCGGTTCAATGAAAGGGAAAGGAAGATCAATTACACATGAATACGTGAGCCATTGTACCCAAAGATCAGACGCATTAATATAAAAAATTCGCTGGAATACCTTGAGGTACTTGAGCTTGATGCTGCCATAAACGACGCCAAAAGAGAAAGCAGACGCCCGTGCGACCTGCCAATGTACCAGTTTCTTTCAATTGATTCTAAAATATCTTTTATCAAACACAAAAAGGGAAGACGGAAAACTAATCTAGCGCTCCGCGATAGAGGACGGTTACACAAAGCATGCTTTTTCAAGAGAAACATGGGGATTTACCAAAGCTAAGGTGCTTGTTCCAGAATAAGGTCCTGGTGGAGGCGCCATGGATGATTATTCCTTCACAACTGTTTGAGAGCAGAGAGGAAAGAGACGACTACTGACTAGCTCGAGACTCCCACAAATTTCCAATATCCAACCCTAATGTGTTGGAAGAGGGTGACTTGTACTGTGCACCACGAAAACGCATGACACGACATCGTTTCGTAACTGAAATTCAAAATTAAGTATTAATATTGTTAAATTTTTAAGTTTCTTACCATCTTCTTGTTATTATCTTTTTTTTTAATCCTCAGTCTTAAAATTGTACATAACCCAAACTTCGCTATTGTGTTCTAAATATTTTTGAGGAAAATACTTTAAGGTCTCACATAACATAATTAAATATTATAAGGTTAATTAATAATTTAACAAAGGAAAATGATAATTAAATATATTACTAATTTTCTTTGTGAGATCTTATAATATTTAAATGCATTGTGTGGGACTTGTATACTATTGGGTAGGTCATGGCCCCCTCTAACTTTTTACTTTTTTTCTTGATAAAATATAAAAATTATATATTTTCACTCTTTAATTGACATATTATAGGAACTTTGAGACACTAGATAAATTTTTTTTTAATTTTATATGTAATCTTTTATAAATGTATAGATAGTATCATGCAACTGTTTTAGTTGTGTAACATTCCAAAAATTATTCTTCTCACTAATTAAGTTAATGTAGGTTAATTATGTAAATTAAATATAAATGAGTTTGATAATAGTTAGATATGGCTAATAGGTCTATTGAGTTTGGCTTTAGCCATTGAATTAAGTTTGGAAGTAAAATGGGCCACATGGGTTCAAATTGAAGAGAGAAAATTAAAATCTGGCCCATTGTGCATTATATTGCAACACAATACATTTATGCTACAACATAATGTAAAAAATCAGACTCAACAAAGCTTCTACGTGTGTGAAAACAGGAAGGAAAAAAAAGAAAACAAAAGGGGTCATGATTCTCTCTATTAGAGCACAATTTTTGCTAGTGTTTTGAGGAGATTTAGGTGTCCAATTTGTGATCAGGTCATAGTTTGAAAATGAAACTAATGTCATTAGTTAGAGTTTTGAAAGAAATTTTAGTGAACACCTAAATCACTTCAATCAAATGTCGAATGAAGATTTAGGACACGTTGAAAGTTTCACCAAAATGTTTGTCACAATGGTATATTATCATGGGTTTTGCATTTTAATCCGCAGCATAAAATATTATGCCACAGTGTAATGCCAAATTTGTTGAAGTGTGCTTGCTATGCTTTATGCTGCGGCATAGTATGCTAAAAATATATTTTGACTCTTTTGATCCTAAATTAATTTGTTACAATTCTAGTACAATTTTCGTGCTTTCGTATATGTTTTTACTCTATTTTAAATTATTTTATATTTGATTTTAGAGTTCAAGTTATTAAGCTTGAGGTCCCAACTTTGATAGGTTTATATTTATAAATGAAGTTATTGTTGAATTATGAAGCAAGTATTCTAATGCTTGTTTTTAAAACTTTTAACTATAGTAAACTTTGATTTGTTTTTCATTTCTACTATGGTTAGTTTTTTAATAAATGCTTAAAGTTTACAACTATAGTTTGCTAATCGTATGACTTAATCTATAGTCATAATTGAGATTTTAGTTAAGTGCCAAGATAAAAGAAAAAACATTACAAGTAGCTTAAATATATAATTTACTTATTTTTAACAAGATAATGTTACATATGTTCTTAAAGCTTTAATGTTATTTGATTTTGATTTTATTTTATATTTAATAAAAAAATTATGAGAATTATTATTAATAAATTTTATCAAGCATTGCACTAAAAAATATAAATGATTTAAAAATTTTATGACAATTGAACATAATCACCGTATTTATATTTTATATATTTATTTATCATGATTATCGGTTGAAATAACTAAATAATAAATTTAATATGCAAGTAATAAAATTTCTTTCTTAGATTAAAGAGAACTTTAAGACCCAATTATGTATTTAAATCATTCAATGTTCATAGGGGAGATAAATTTTTTCTAATTTAATGATTGTTTATATAGAGAGAAGAGTTGCTAAAAAGTTTATCATAGATATGATAATTAATAATTTTTATGCAATGAAAAATTGATGAGTAAAACTTAAAAAATTAATGTATGTATTTATTTTTATTATATATTCATAAAATTGAATATAAAAATATATGTTAAAAAATTTATGTTATATCAATAATATATATAGATTTCACTTTTTTCGACTACTATATATGCTTTGTCATCTTAGTCTTCTTAAAAAAGTGTTTTAGCTCCGTTCATGCTCAATATGTAAACTCTAGGATAGATAAGTAAGACTAGGGGTGTTCACGAGACGGG